AGAGACAAAACGAAACGCTCTGATTTTTTCTTTTGGTTCATTAAACCTGTTCAGGAGTGATTAACATGCAGCTGATAACGTCGTACACAAACATCTTCTTCATGGAGAGAAAAGTGTCTCATGCTCGCAGTTTGTGGAAACACGTTCACAAACGCGTTTTCTGTCCACAAACGCCAACAAACCTGAACGATGCGAAGCAAAAACCAGACAAACGTTAGCTGGAAACTTTCCCGTTGCTTTGTCACCAACGGCTGCAGAGTCACACAGATGTCACATCTATAAAATGAAAGCGCATTGCATTGTGGGATTATGGCAGCTTGTCCCAGTGGTCACTCGCAGTACTGCAACTACAGAGTCACCCCCCCCCCCCCAGTCCTCCATTAGAGCAGAGACGTTTGTGGACCTGTTTGTGGACAGTAAATGCACCTGAGACGTCCACATGTCCCTGCACAGAAGTGCAAATCTCGTTTTTGTTGGTGGATCATGAAACACAGATTTGAGACTCCGTCCTCAGGCTTCTCACTGACCTTCTTCATCCTGCCTCAGTCCAGACCTCCTGTAACGCACACGGCTCTCGCAGAAACAGAAGAAGAAGAGCAGTGGGCACAGTGATGTTCGGTTGCATAAAGGATGAAGCGAGGACACGGGACATGGACAGGTGGTTCACTCAGGTTCATGTGACCCTTCAGATTGTCTGCTGTTCAGCTGGTTAAAGCGTCGGTTCGTCGTGTCAGACCCTGATGAGGAAGTCGAGGCCGAGCGAGGCGGGGATGTGCAGCGTCTCCAGGCTGAGAGCGGAGGGCGTGTACGGGAAGAGGACGGGGAACGTTTGCTTGGTGTCCACCAGCAGCTGAGGAGGGTCGTTCCTGACCTGGAGACGATTCTGGACAGACAGATGAACATGCAGGTCAGACTGAGAAACTCACCCAGACCAAAGCTTTACATTCCTGCCATTAACCAACCACAGACATTTAAGGATGCTTGAAAAAACAGAAGAAGAAGAGACCACTTCCTCCTGCCCTCCTCCTCTGAACACCACCCACGGACTGTATGACAGAAGCGCACGTAGCCACAAGTGACCATATTTGGACGACAGGGTGGAGCAAGCTAGCTTGGTTAGCATGTTGCATCTGTAATTCACATTGACTGTGATATTAGCTGGGATGCTAATCTTAGCTAGCGACAAACAGACCCAGAACTAAATGAGCTGCCGACTCCTGATGAGCTTTTTCAGCAGCGCAGGTTAAACGTACACAGAGCAGCGGATACGAGTCGCCTCTAGCCTGATTGACAGGTCGCCATGGTAGCAACTTGTCAGTCAGCTTGTAGCCCCGCCCTAAAGCCTCCCCTGCTTCAAACTCCTCAGGAAAGTGTTTACTGAGGGAATAAATCAGCTGACAAGTAGAAACATTTTCTCAGAGACTTCTATACAATCACACTTCTTTCTGCAGCCGCTGGAGTCGCCCCCTGCTGGCTGCTGGAGAGAACACCTGGAGGTTTCCTGCCGAGTCTCACCTGGATGTTTCTGATGAAGGAAACTGTGACTCTTTCTTCAAACTCGTTCAGCGGCGTGTAGAGATTCAGGATCTTCACAATCTGCAACACACAGAACAACAATGATCGATACCATGTCTTTGTCTCGTGTGTCGTTCATCAGCTGCCGTGCTGTCCTGCGAGCAGACCTGTTGGGTGGAGAGGGCGCTGCAGAGCGAGCAGATGGCCTCGGCGTCCTGCGTGGTCTTCTTCTTGACCTGCAGCAGCTGAGCGGCCTGGATGATGGGCTCCAGAGTGGCTGCAGCTTTGCTCTGGTACAGGTTGTTTGCTCTCAGCCACTCCTCCATCTGACTGGTGTTGTACCTGAACACAGAAACAGAAACGCTTCAGAGCTCACGCACGAGCCCAGGATGTCCTGCCGTCTCTAATGAAGGGACAGGCAGCGATGCGATTGGCCGCTTCAGCCGGGGGGTACCTGAGCTGCATGCCGGTGCTCCAGGAGCACACGTCTTTGCGCAGCAGCAGGTTGTTGAGGGTGACGGCGTTGATGCAGTGGAAGAGCTGTCGGACCACCTGACCCACGATCTCGGGGTCCAGGCCGTGTTCCCGCATGATGCTGTGGAACTGCCCCAGCTGTCTGATCAGGGCCTCCAGAGTGTAGCTGCTGGGGCCGCCGGAGTCCGTGTCCATGCTGGACGACCGGTTCCTGTAGCCCATCGGCTTGACCCCCGCCAGGCTGGGGATGCTCTCGCTCTCCAACATGGCCGACACTGGACACGACAAGCAGAGACAGAAAGACATAAGGATCAGATATTTCAGATGTCTGAGAGAGTGACGCTGAGCTGAAGCCTGAGGGTGCGGACATGAAGATCAGAGTTTCTATTGCTTCACTATTTAAAACAGGTAACCTCATATTTCACAGGTTCGCTCGCTCCCTCGCTCGCTCTCCCTCAGCCCCTCCTCTTCCTGCAGTCTGAACATGACCTTGGGCTGGAGGAAGCGTTGCTGCCGGCTTTCCCCCACAGAGACGATTCCTGAAGCGGTCTGAAAGGTTAGTGTCAGAAACACCGCGGCCCAAATGTGTCCAAAAATAACGCCTCCCCCGTGAACACTGCACAGTATTTTTAGGAGGGTCTCTATTAGCACGTGAGGAGCCGAGCTAATGAGGACGGGATGTGAGGACACAGCTGGGCTGCAGAGTTAGCACGCTGTAGCTGCCAGTCACTCCCGCCCACAGAAACCAAACTACTTTTTTTTTTGTCATCTATGAAGCAATATCTGACACGATGCAGAGATAGTCTCAGCTGAGGAATCATTGGATGGTGAAATGAGTCAGAACAGCAGCTGCTTCCTCAGCAGTGACGCCGTTTCTGTAAACATCCTCTGAGAAAAGTCCCGACGGTTGAACAGCGACCTGCTGACTCACTCAGAGCCGAGGAGACGATGAAGGGTCAGTGTGTAGAAAACCGGACAGCTGTTAAGAACTACGATACCCACAATGCTCTCCGGCAAACACTGAATCAGCAAAGACCTAAAAACAGACTTTACTGGAAAAATATTTAAATTCATTTTAATTTCTGTGTTTTTCTAAATTGCTGCTGTTTCTGTGTTTATTAGTATTTTGTTAAATCTTGTGCTTTGACATTTGTTGTAAACACTTTACTTTTTACTGTCATGTCATTTAATAAACTTCACTTCCCATGTTTCATATAATATAACATCTTGAACTGAGTGAATAATCTCAGATGTTGCACGTTGGCGCCCCCGGCTGCCCACCGGTGGAATGACACCGCCCTCCACTGAGCTCCTGCAGGTCAACGACGCCACCTGATGCTGTGTGGGCGGAGTTAATCGTGACATCTTACAGCTGGGTGAAAGTCACATGATGCAGCTCTGACACATACAAAGATCGTCAGTCCTACTACGTCAGACTTAAGGACGATCGTTTTGGTCTTCGTCTGCCTGTTTCCTGTTTTATTTTGAAGTTGTCTGTGTCTGTTCGTCATGCCTAGCTTTGTTTCCTGTTGCCCCTGACGTGTCTCACCTGTAGGTAATCCCCCTGCCAGGTGTCAGGCTTCAGGTGTCCCTGCCTGTCCACATGTGGATTTGGATTTATGGAGCCCCTCATGTCAGCCTGCTCACCTGTTTGGTTTAATAAACCCTACAAACGTAATCTGTGACAGAAGACACGGTTACTCACCGATCATGGGCTGTATGATGCCTTCTGCCACCTTGATGAGCTGCTGGTAGATCTGGATGGAGAGGTCGCTCAGCACCTGTCGGTACTCCGTCAGGTCAAAGTTCTTCAGGCAGTGTTCGTTCTGTTTGGCTGAGTTCTGCGTCATGAACACCTGAACAGGAAGACAACAGAAAAACATCGGACTCAGGATCATCCGGCAGCCGGAGCTGAACGCGGAGCGCGCTCAGTACAGACCGTTTCCCGCCTACCTCGTCGCCGCTGTACTGCTTCAGGCAGTGGAGGAGGCGGCTGGTGTTGGCGAGCCAGAACGACGTCGTCTCAAAGTCCTCGTTTTTCTGCAGATGGAAACAGATAGTTAGAAGTGAAATTACGGAGCCTGTAGCTTTAATCAGACGGGTGGATGCGTGGGGGACGCTCACCTTGAGGACCTTCTTGATGCCGTTGATGGTGGAGGTGAGCAGAGACTCCACCTTCTGGTCGTCGTTGACGTAGTCGGCGTGGCGGATGCACATGAAGAGAATGTATGCAGGCAGACAGGGGACTGTGGCGGACACCGTGCTGGGCCTGATGTCTGAAAACACAGCAGAACATTAACTCCGAGGCGCTTCCTGCTGCCGAGAACAACTTCAACAGGCAGCGAGAGAGAGAGACAGATTTACTCCGTCTGCAGGACTTCAGCTCCTGGTGAACTAAGACTGCAGCTCTGGATTTAGTCTCACTGTTTAGCTTTGCTTCGCGGCGGGTCCCTGAACTGTCCAACAAACTGACCTGGACTCTTTGTTACTGTGCTCATTAGTCCGAGGACGGACGACAGCCCGACCTGTGACAGTCCGGGTCTTACCGGTGATCAGAGTTTTGAGCAGCCGGGCCTCGTCCTCCTTGTAGTACTCCAGCATCCCCTCAAAGTCCTTCTCTTTCCTCTGGACGGTCACCTGGCGGCACAGTTCAGGTCTGGGCCTGTTGGTCTGAGCTGCGTCCGCCTGAGAAACTACAGAGAAGGAGACGCCGTCAGCACGTCTGATCCAGATCACCCGGACTCTGCTGAGCTCACAGCTCCTCTTACCTTCTAACTCCTGGACCTTCTTCATGTAGATCCTGAGCTGCTTCTTCAGCTTCCTCTCGTTCTTCTCCAGCTTCTCCACCAGCTCCTTGAGGTCCTGCGAACAAGACAACAGCAGCCCAGCATGAAGACCCCGCGTGAAACTTTAGCCCCCCTCCAGTGCGTCTGCAGCAGCCCCTCACCAGGTTGTCGTTGGTGAGCCGTGTGATCTCCTGCTGGATGCTGTACTCCACCTGAGCCTCAGGGGACAGGGACGAGGTGTAGTTCAGGATCTCCTGCTTCTTCAGGATGTCGTCTTTCAGCAGCTCGATCTGAGTGTGAAGAGCTTCCAGCTCGTCTTTGTGCTGCCGGGACTGAGACTGCAGCTGGGCCTCCAGCAGCCTGAGAGGACACAGCAGGTTACCGAGCGCTACAGACACACTTCTTTTAAGGTGAGCAACCAGTGTGTGAAAAACCCTCTGAAACCTGAAACAGACGCTCCACTTCCTCCTGGTTCTTTCAGGAAATGACTGAGCCTTTTAAACGTGAAACTAAATGTCTGTGGTTTTGTAAAGATTTATGGAGGAACCGGTGGGCCTCAGACAGGAAGTCAGAACGTGATTTAATGACAGAAACTAAAATACAGACCAACAGAAGCTTCCTCTCCACACGCCGCTTCAAACATTTACACACTGCGAGATCATTAAAGTTCAACTCTCAAACCCAAGCTTTAATTTATTTAATTTAAAAAAAGTTTTTACACTCGCTCGAGTTTTCCTTTGTCGAAGCTAAATGAGAGATGGAAACACTTTAGCCGAATAAGTTCTGACGTAGTGAACTTCCTGAGGGCCCCTCTCCGCTGTCCTCAGGTTCATGCAGCTGGTTTTGATTCTGGTTTGGAACCCGTACGTCTTGTTTATTACAGCAACTACTGGTGGACCTACGCTCGCCGTCGCCTGGCTTGTAACCAGCTGATGGAAACTTATTTCTCTTTTTTTGCGGCTGCCAGGGCCTCAAACTGTGCGAAGGGACGTTTTCTGCAACACAGAACCTTAAAGTCACCAAAACGTGTTCCGTACGGTTTGGGACTTTTTATTTAGCGGTTTACTTTCTTCCGGGCCGAGGCCCTGAAGGGACCGGCTGCCTCAGATCACTCGCTTTCTTCAACGCATGTAAACCTTCTTGCTCGTAGTGGTTCCCCTGGAAGCCCGTGTTTAAGGTCACAACGCTATGCACTGTGGGAAACTCCCTCAGACTGATGGAAAGTCTGTGAGACTGCAGATTAGGACAGGGCGTACTTCACACACTGGGTGCAACACAAGTGTGTCATGTCCCCGTGTACCAGGCCCGGGTACCAGGCCCGGATACCAGGCCCGGGTACCGTAAGTGAAAGCAGTGAGCTTTTATTTCAGTGAGGAAAAGAGGAGAAAGTGAAAGGATGTCAGCAGAACAAGAGGAAGGGAGGGAACAGAGACCTGGCCACCTGTTTCAGGCCCTGGTAGGCCAGACCCAGCTCTCCATCTTCATTCAAATAACACCAGTCCTGTTGTGTGCTGGAGTCCAGCAGGCAGAGGAAAGAAAGCAAAGCAGAAGGTGAGGAAGGCTGCAGAGAGCAGAGCAGACAGAAAGCGTTAGACAGCAGAGACCTGGTCCTGGTCTTTAAGCATCAGTGTCCCTCAGCAGCTTTTACTTCAGGACTACAACAAGTACAAACTCTGCTGCAGCTCAACGTCTTGAACACAGCTTCAGGTTTTATTCCTGGACTAAAGGTGAGGTCATGTGATGTCTGATGCAGGTTAATGACCAGGAAACAGGGTTGGAGGTCTGACAGAGGGATGATGTCTTGAATAATAACTTTCCAAACACGGCTGCAGTGTTTCTATTGGTCCGCTCGTGGGCTGCGCCTTAAAGCTGCAGCGCCATGTGACACAGTTTCCTCTCTACTGACCAACAGCCTGTCAGCGTCACGTACGTGTACCGTCTCTCGGGAGGAGGTGCAGGACTTACTTTTTGGACTCGCACAGCCCATGATAGGCTCTGAGCGCCTCCTCTTTGTCCACGGGCTCTTTGCTGTTCAGCTCAGGGACGTTATTACTTTCCTGCTGAAACACAAAGAACATCGTTTAGATAAAATGACCTGAAGGACTTCATCTCCCATGAGCCCGCAGGTTCCTCGTCACGCTGTGAGGTGAGTTCAGATGAACAGGAGCAGGAGGCTGAGAGAGAGACACTCACGATGTGCTCGTTCCTCTCCATCAGCTGGGCCGTGCTGACGATCTGAGTCCTCAGGATGAGGACTTCCTCCTTGCGGGCGTCCAGCTCCTCGTTGGCCGCCTTCAGCTGGCTCAGCAGCAGGTTGTAGCTGCCCTGCAGCTCGCTGGACGAGTTGTTCTGAGACGCTCGCTCAGAGACGGCCTTCCTCAGCTCGTTCAGGTCGTTCTTCAGTTTCTTGTTCTCAGACTCCAGCTCCTGCCTCTGCAGGGGCACGCAGCCAGGGGCCACAAGTTTAGGACACGTGATCCAGACAGACAAGCACTTTGAAAGAAATCCTTCAGCAAACTGAGCCGTTATTCACCTCAGGTTTTAAAGGAATATTTTGTCTATTCGAATATAAAAATCAACGCAGATAAACAAAGAGTATTTCAGCGGCACTACTCTCCACAGAATAACAGTTTATATGTCCTGCTGTCAGATTAGAGCTGCTCACAGTTAGGATGGTGTACTGGCAGCTACCGGCTGACCCCTGCCCTCCTCTCAGAGTTACTAGTTACATTATTTTGTTGTATGCAGCCAGCGGAGGAGCTGAAGTGTGTGTGTACCTTGAGGTTGTTGTAGGCCAGGTCTGCGGTCTCCTGCTCAGAGGCGGGACTCTTGGCCTCGGAGCCCTTTAAAGAAGAACAGTGTGAGCACCTCAGTGGCGTGCAGAGGGGAAGCACCTGAGCTTCTGCTCACTAGAATAGAATCGAGAGTGTCACCTTGCTCCGGGCCAGCTCCTCCATCTTGTCCACGCTGACCTGCAGCCTCTTCCTCTCCAGCTCCAGCTCCCGGACTCTCTTCTGCAGCTTCATGAACAGACTGATGTCCATGGCGGCCTTCTCCACGCCCAGCTCCTGCACAGGGAACAGTCACAGAAGATGTTGAAGCACGCCGGCTTCAGCGGCGGGCCCCGCCTTCATTCGCCCCACCGCTCACACTCACCTCCACCAGCTGGACGGCGTCCTCGGTGTCTCCGACCTCCGAGGTGGAGACGGACGGGTAGTTAGAGTCCGACTCCAGGCTGCTCTGATTGGACGGGTTCCTCCGGTGGCCGGGGTGGAACTGGAGGATGATGGGAGGAAGAGAGGAGCTGCATGTTTACTGAAGACTAGCGGCGTGTGGTTCAGCAGCTCCACCCTGAGGTTGAACTTCTCCCTACAGCCTGATGCAAAGCTTTACTCCTCCTTATCAGAGAAGACATTTTCTGCACCAGTTTATGGTGGAAATGTCTTTTTTTAAACGAAGGGAAACAAAGTTCAGACGGCCGGTGATTAATAAACTATTTCAGGGCCTAAAGCAGTGAGCAGCAGTCCCGCCTTCTGAGAGCAGATCTGTTTATATTTAAACTGAAAAATCTTTCTCACAGAACTTTTATTTGTTATCTAACATTTCTTACTGAAAGCTAATTTCAGACAGTGGTGGGGACGTGTCCCCCGGCGAGTGAATGAGCCTGCAGAAGTTAACCAGCTGGCTCTCGAGCGTCGCCTCCGACAGCTCAGATGATTTTCCAGAGAAAGTTTTAGGTGCAGACACCACAGTCAAAGAGTTATTTACCCCAGCTTTACTCACAATGAAACTTTTCAATTTCTAATATGCAAATGAGGTATTTCCTCATTAAATATGCGCTGATTTGCATATAACACAAATCGCACATTGATAAGAGTCAGATGGATTTTTTTGTGACGATATACCAAATGAAAGGTTTACCAGAATATTTTTAAGGATAAAAACAATATTTATATGGATTTATTCAAAATATTTCCAAATAAAATGCCACATAATGTGAAGGTCTTGCTCTAAGAGCTCCGAGAGTGACGTGATGATCTGGAGGAAAATGAGCTGCTGTTTAAACTGCTCTGTACTACAGACTCTGTTTCCATAAAGTCATCCAGATAATTTGCACATTTAATAATCGTTGAAACGTGAATCCTGACAGACTGAAGCTGAATGATATTTAGGACAGGGACATTCACTGAGACGCACTAACACAGCTGCGAGCCTGAGCGCTGCAGGACAGCGTGCTGTGACTCGGGCGGTCCCCCCTGGCTGACGGGGGCTCACCTTGGCCAGGGACACCTCCTCCTTCAGGTTTTCGTATCTCTGCTCCAGCCTGGAGAACTCTTTGAGCAGGTTCTGGTAGCGCTGCCTCTCCTGGTCCAGCTCAGCCTGCAGAGACGACTCCCTCTGAGCCAGACTGCTGTCGTCCTCTGAAACACACACACACACACACACACACACCGCCGTTCACAACCTGTCAGCGTACGGGAGCCTGTGAGGGTCAGCGTGCTGTTTGAAACGCGGTTCAGTCAGCTGAGATGGAACCTGAGAGACCAGAGGTGTTCTCAGGTGGGCGTGTTCAGGGCTCACCTTCGATGCTCTTTGATTGCTGCAGGATCCTCCGGTTCATCTCCTCCTTCTCGCTCTTCAGCAGAGTGTTCTCCCTCTCCAGCTCCTCCACCCTCTGAAGGCGGAGACAAAAACATCCATCCAGAGTGATACCACCGAAGAAGAAGAAGGAAGCTCAACAGTTAGTTAACATCGACGTTCCTGTGCAGTTTAGCAGGTTCAGAATTAGTCTCATATACAATAAACCTGATTCTGCTTCACCTGAAGTCCCAACAGATCCTCTGGACCAGCTGGACCACTGAGATTCCCTCTAAGGACTTTATGAAAAGTATTACATTTATTAAATGAATGATAAAGTTTAAAATATCTTTATTAGAGCTCGACTCGAGCGTCACACAGTGTCGCTCTCATCGTTCTGATGGTGGTGAAAGAAACACGATCTAGTATTTGATTTATTTCTGCAGACAGCCTCACGCCGTCTCCATGCTGATCTGACACTTCAGGGCCACATAAACCTGCTAGAGGGCCCCGGGGCCACTTGGTCAGCTGTGGGCCTCGATGTGTTTCCAGACTTAGTTTTGCTGACTGTACACAGGGATTTACAGTGATCTTACACAGAGTCTGGGGCCTCTGGGGCCCTCAGGACTTTAACAGCAGACTCCACCCTGGATCAGCTGTTAGCATCACGCGGGTCCCCCTCCCGCCCTCACCTGCTGCAGCCCCAGTTTCTCGTTGCTGTGCTCCTCCTCCAGCTTCTTCCTCTGGGCCGACGCCTCCTGCAGCTCCTCCCTCAGCCTCTCCAGCTCCTCCTGCAGAGACGTCAGCTGGCCTCCTTCGCCCTGCTGACTCCGGACCTGCTCCAGCTGCTTCTGCAGCTTGTTCACCTCCGCGCCCAGACTGGTGTTCACCAGAACCAGCTGCTCGTTCTGAGTCCTGTACTCTTTGGACTGACAGACAGGAAGCAGGAGAAACAGGTATTATTATTATTATTATTTACTACTGCTGGATGCGATGACGATTCATTATGAGTTTGCCATTACTGATCAAAAAAAGTTTTCTCTGTCTTTAAATGTTAAAAACTTACCAATGTTAACTACGGAGGCTAACAGCATTAACACAGGAAGACTAGACTGGACTAAATTAACCGTGGAAGATTTCCAGAAGTATTATGTTAGGACTGATGGGTTGCTGGGAAACATTGCACTGCCCAAAGACGCCATAAGATGTTGTGATATTAATTCACAACATAGTAATGATTTATGTGTTTTTTATGACTCAGTTGTTGAAACACTTAATATTGCCAGTAGGCATTTTTATAAACCTCAGCGAATGGCCTATAGCATCAACCTGGTTGGAACGAGCATGTAGCAGAACTTCATGCCAAAGCTCGGTGTGCATTTAAAGACTGGATAGAGTCCGGCAGAGACAGACAGGACCCTTTATTTGAAGAGAAGAAATGTTAAATATGCACTAAGATATATAGAAAAGAATGAGAACTCGATGAGGTCTGACTCTTTGGCATGTAAGATGCATAACAGAAGCTCTAATGACTTTTGGAGGTTAGAGCCAGGAACAGTACTAAAATGTCTTTACCCCCAAATATTGAGGGTGTCAGTGGCTCATTTTCCAGATGTGGCGGCAACATTATCATGAGCTGTTTAACTGTATTGGGAGGAAAATATTGATAATGATGAAAATGGGGTTATTAATTCAGAAGAGGCACAATCTGCAGTATTGAGATTAGATGATAATAAAGTGTGTGGGACCGATAAAATAACCACTGAACATCCAAAATATGCAAGCAAGAAACTTGTTCCCCTGTTTGCTATTTGTATGACAGGATTTCTAGCTCATGGGATTCTGCCTGAATCTATCTTACCTGTTTTATTAGTGGCCGTCATTAAAGACAAAACTGGACAACTACAGACCTTTAGCCCTAGCTAGTATTTGTATCCAAAGTGTTGGAGAGAAAAACAGTATATTTTTACGACTGATAACCAATTTGGTTTTAAATGTCAGCACAGTACAGATATGTGGATATTTGCCTTAAAGGAAATTTTAGATTTCTATAATAGCCAGAATTCCACAACGTTTATGTGTTTTATAGATGCCTCTAAAGCATTTGATCGGGTAAACAGAGAAATCCCTAGTCTTCTGGTATTCACACCAGTCAGTGCAGGTGAAATGGGGGGGCTCTGTATCAGAACCATTTACTGTTGGTAATGGTGTTCGGCAGGGTGGTATTTTGTCACCTTTCCTTTTTAACGTGTATATGGGTGACTTGTCACAACAACTAAATAAATGTAATACAGGATGTATGACAGGCAATACTCTCACAAACCACCTTATGTATGCAGATGATTTGGTAATCATTTGCCCATCTAGTGCTGGGTTACAACAGCAGATTTGTAGCAGTAAAGAAGACAGGAAATTAGTGTTCCCTGATTACTTTTAAACTGGTAAAGTGTGTGATGAGTTTAAATATCTTGGCCATCATATTGTAAAAGATTTATCGGACAATAAGAACATCATGGACAGTGTCGCAAGATATATGCTCAGGCTAATGTGCTTGCAGGTAAATTTGGCATGTGTTCTGTTAAGGTAGCCTTATTCAAAGCATTCTGTCCACCACTATTTACTGCCCACCTGTGGCGGTCTTACAGCAAAAAGAACATGCAGAGGCTGAATGTGGCGTATAATGATGGCATGAGACTGCTCTTAAAACAACCTAGATGGTGTAGTGCTCGTCAAATGTTTGTTAATGTTGGGGTGCCTACATGCTCTGCCTTAATAACAAATCTTATTTTTCGATACATGTAGAATTTCTGTCTCTGAAAATAGAAATATTCAAGCTTTAGCTCAGTCAGGTATACATCTAGACTGTGGAGGAACTGGCGCTCCTGTGTTTATTAATGTAGAACTCTGTACTGTATATTTATTGTTATTTTGTAGCTTGAGTCCTGAATAAAGTCATTGTTATTATCATTAGTAATAATAGTTCTGATGATGCTTCATGTTTTCAGACGCCTCTCTGACTCATGACTGGTCCCCTGTAGTAAATGTGTACTCGGCAGTAGTACTGGTAGTATCAGTATGTACGTGCTGTGCGTACCTGGTCGTCCATCTTCCTCTGCAGCTGGACGATCTTGTTCTCCATGCCGGTGTTGAGCTTCTTCAGGTGCTCTGCAGAGCGAGCTTCGATCTTCAGCTGCTGCAGCTGCCGCTTGGCTCGCGTGCGTCTGAACGCACACTGGATGGTGACGGCGGCGTCGCGCGCCCGCCTGAACTTCTTCCTCTGCAGCCAGCCGCGGACGCTCTTCTGGATGATCATGGCCTTGTGGTGCAGCAGGAACTGCGGAGGACAGGTTTTCAGACGACTACAGAACAAGGAGGCATTCAGAGTCCAGCTGATCACATTCCACCTCAGATTGGAAACACTTCGCCTCCAATTCACTCGTTAGGTCAACAAACTCCAGACGGACAGGGCAGAGCTGAGACAGAAGACCGCAGTTTCTTTTACCTCGTAGTAAATCCTGCGGGTGAACATCCCTTTGGCGAAGGCCTGGATGGTGACCACGGCCTGTCTCACCCTCAGGTAGGCCCGCCGCTCTCTCACCATGCGGTACTGCTTCTGAGAGATGACGGCGGCTCGAGTCAGACGCAGGAAGTCTGCATATCTGAGGCAGGAAGAAACCAAAACATCATCAGTTAGAGGACGGGAGGAGCAGAGGGACCAGGTCTCAGTCCTGCGACGTGAGACAGGCGGTCTAACCTCATGTTTGCTTCATCCGGCACACACTAAGACACTAATCAGACATGGAGCGAGTAAATGAACGCGCAGTATTGTAGAGCACGGCGAGGTGCCGGTGTCGAGGAGGCTTCTCGTGTTCCCACCTGCGGGCCAGGTACCCTCGGCCGTATCTCTGCAGAGCGATGGCAGACTTCCGGATCTTGCGGTATCGAACTCTCTGCAGCCAGCCTCGCACCGTCTTCTGGATCTTGATGCAGGCCGAGCGGAACTTATCCGCCCGGAGCTTCTCCAGGTACGCTACCTGCCCGGCCCGGAAGAAGATCTTTGTCTTACCGAACTGGAACATGTCCGGCTCCTGAGACACCGGAGAGACAAAAGATCTTAGTGTAACACGCGCCAGCCTGTCCACATCAACCGCCTACACCCAAATAAAGCCAAAGCTCCGGTTCAGTGTAGAGTAACACAGAGTACGCAGATGAAAGTAGTGTCCTCACCTTAATCAGCGTCTCCAGCAGGTTCTTACACACCAGCTTCTTGTCTGCAGACATCATTTGAGACTTCTTCAGCAGCACTCGGTACCTGCTGAAGAAGTCCGGGTACGTCCACCTGGAAACACACGCACATGTTTTCTATCCTCTGAGGGCCCGTCATATGGTTATTTCTTTATTCTTTCTGCTTTATTCAGTAAGTAACGAGGACACAGGGAAGTCTGTCGTGTCCTCTGTGCCGTCTCTCAGGAAACAGTAATGAATATTTTCACTACTTGAAGACGTTTTACCTGAAGAAGATAACGTGCAGGTTAAGTGACGGCTGCAGACCGACTTTAAACTCCGTTATGTAACAAACCCGGCCGCAGCTCTACACATCACAGATCTCTAGGTTTCATGGGAGCTGCTGAGTTTCTGTCCTCTCGTGAGAGGACAGATGTTAGTGGAACAATGAGACCTCACATCTCTGAGCTCAGTCACATCTGCAGATCTGAGAGCAGTCTCTGCATCCGTGCTGTCGTTCCAGAGAAGAAGCGGACTCACCTGGACGGATACCCGGCTGCGCTGATCCGGATCGTCTCCAGGACTCCGCAGGCTCGGAGCTGCTGCACCGCTCGCTTGGAGTCGAACCTGCAGCGACACAAACATTTCAGATCAACCCGGTCACATTTAAACGGAGTTGGACAGCGAACACTTCCTCCTACCTCGTCTTCTTCTTCGGCATGGCCGCGCAGCACCAGGACCTGCAGCCCGTTTACAGCCGCCTGACAGACTCTGAAACATGTGACTGAGGCCCTGCATCTAATTTAACTGTGCAGACATGTGAGCTGGTCGACTCAGAGACAGAAACAATGACTGTCCTGTAAGAAGCTGAGCGTCACACTGACAACGCTGAGACTCAGATTAAAGTCGCTCTGCAGAACATTTAGTTTCCTCTCTAACTAACCGCAGCTCTCTGCAGGCCGGCTGTCATTTCTATTCACTCTCGTCTTTTTCTAGATTAATGGCAGCAAGCTAAAAAACAGAAATGTATAAATACAAACTGTATCAACCTCTGCTGTGCTGCTGATGTACAAACTTTATTCTCAGACTGAATGCTAACATGCTAACACCAACATATTGGATATACATTGGTTTGGGAAAGTGAGGCCTGTAAGAGCTGATCAGCTGTGCTGCTGTGAGGTCAGCTACAGGCGGCGCTGCTCCCTTTACAGCCTGCATTTGTTCCCCATTAACAGAAGCTGAATCAGCTGTCAGCAGTTAGCATGGATGGACAGACAGCTGTCACTGGGTTACTGCGATGCTGAAGGAAACTGACGACTCTCAGGAAGTCCTGAACTGATGTCTGGACCGCAGCTCCACCTGCTGACAAACATTACACTACAATCACTGAGCTCCTGTCCCCACCTGTCCCCACCTGTCCCCTTCACCTCGCGTCTCTCCTGCTGTAAGGTTGGCTGTACAGATGGTGCAGTGGAGGAGACACGTGTCTCTGGTGTGAGAGACCTGGGGCCGGTTTCAGACTTCAGGAAGACATCTAAATCAGAGCGCACTGAAGACCCTGACTATCTTAAGTAGGACTACACTGCAATGAATTCTGGGTAAAATAAGACACTTTCAAAACAGAAAGTAGGCGCATCCAACCACTCAGGAAAAAGCTGTTTGTTGCAGTAGTATAATAGTTACGAGGACATTTTCACTTAGTTAGCGGAGTGTAGAAACGAAAAGAAATGCTTGATTGTGGTGGTGATGGACCAGTGGATAAGACACATGCCTTTGGTGGGAGAGACCTGGGTTTGAATCCCCTATGAGACACCAATGTGTCCCTGAGCAAGACACTTAACCCCTCGTTGCTCCAGAGGCGTGCGACCTCTGACCTGTACAGCAGCTGTAAGTCTCTCTGGATAAAAGCGTCAGCTACGTGAATCCTGTTCTGTCTACCTGTGACATTCTTGATCAGCGTCACGACAGGATGAGGTGAAGTGCTGCCCCCCATGTTTTTGGAGCAGGTGTTCAGGACTCTGGAGCACATGGCCTCTTTAACTGGAATCTACTCTTATGTATTTATTTATCTCATTGTGGTGCAGAGAAGATGACCATGACTCACGAGAAGGGCTCCTTGTCATCGTTGGGTTTGATGCAGCGGACGTAGTGAGGAGTCGTAGCGTTCAGAGTCTCCATGAGAAGAGTGAGAGAGCTGCGGAACTGAACCAACAGAGCAGCAGGTGAGTGACAGCAGCATCAACACTGAACACAGAGTCCTGCAGAGGAAGGCGAGCTCACCTGGAGACCCACGGTCTTCCTGTGCTCTTTGTTGGGCGCTTTGGGAACCGTCTTGGCTGAGCGGACGTTCACTCTGGAGGACTTGGCGGGGACGACGTCGTCTTTCTCTTGGAACAGGTCTGCTACCAGCTGGAACTGAGAGGGAAACAACAACAAAGCTCACGTCACGAGCAGCAGCTTCAGCCGAGCACGGAGACGTTTAACAGAGTGTGACGGCTGATAGAACCAGCAGGGACGAGGGGATTATTAATTACTGTAAATAATATTTATATTTGCTAACAGGACAGACGGTGTTCACAGCAGACTTTTTTCCCCCAGACTCTCAGCGCGCTGCAGAAGGTCTGGACCACCAGAGTCCATCTCTCAGTCCTGCACCACATCCTGACCTGTGATCAGCTTCAGAGTGACGACAGAAACACTCTCAGATGAGTGAACACACACAAAAACTTTGACCCACTTCTTCCCATTAACCCTTTGTTTGGCGCCTGCAGCTGCCCCGGCGCAGCAGACCCCACGCTGACCCGGTCTACTGTTAAACTGTAGGACCAGGAGGAGGAGGAGGAGGTCTCCCACGGGACACGAGCTGCCTCTCCTCCCCCCTCTGTGAATGTGTCTGCAGACAGATCTGAGGTCAGCCGGCTGGATTTAGAAAGCTCGTCACCTCTGAACACCGGGGACTGAGCATGAGGACTGAACCTTTAATTGCCGAAGATAAACAAGTCCGGCTTCATCAGAGCTGATCTCTGATCTGAAGCGGGACTCAGGTCAGGGTGGAGGACGTAATGTGAAGCAAATCAAAGGGACAGACACAAAAAGAGGACGAGCTGTCTGGAACAGACCCGGTCCAACTGGGTCCTGCTGAGTGACAAAGAGTCCTTCCTACGCTTCAAACAGAACCCGAGTGTGAAAATCACTCTGCAAAGAAGCTTGAAAAACAGTAAATCTGTAAAATAAAAGTGTCTGAAGTGTTGACCGCTGCTGGAGCTGTGGTTCTGGTTCTGGTCCTGGTCTGGTCCTTACCTGACTGGCCTTCAGGATGTTGATCTGCTCCTCGTAGACGGTGTCTCTGTTCTTCTCCAGAAAGCCTTCACACTGATATTCCACCTGCAGAGAGACGGCAGGGTCAGTGAACGCAACACGACAGACAGACAGAGAGGGTCCCACCTCCCAGGCAGACCTGCCCCCCCTCACCACACTTTGTTTTATGTCCTGGTGTCTGACACCACAGAGCCTCTGTGATCCATCACTCAGACCCGGGTCCACTTCCTGTCCTGTATCGACCCAACTGATCTCCAGATTACTTACAAACTGTAGATTGAGACGTAGGATTTTAATCCTCGGTGTTCTGGTCTCTGAGATCCATTTCTAGCGTGACGAAGCGGTCTTGTCCTTCCTGATGGGACCTGCAGAGTCTTTGTGCGGTCAGTGTGTACATGTTCTGCAGAGGAGAGTGGAGCTCACCTTATCAGCAAAGTGCACGATGATGAAGGACGTGTTGGACATACGGGGTTTCTGAAAGTGGGCGCTGCCGGAGTTCTGCTTGTAGAGCTTCTGAGCCCAGTTCTGATCCGTCCCCTTTGGCACCTGAAACAGGACGCAGGTTATGTCAGGGCTTTTATTGAGGCTAACAGGAGGAGAACAGACAACTTCACAGACCGGCGGGAGGGAACGAATCATCTGTTCAGGAGAATTAAACGGGATAAACATCCAGATCAGGACCAGAAAGAAGACTTTCATCTGAAACTATGTTAACCTGTGATCTGGGAGCTACACTTGTTAACCCTCTGACGGTCCACGGCTGGACCTTTGAGCCGCTTCATCAGTTTAAGGAACCCATTAAAGCCCAGCAGAAGCAGTGAAAGCTCTGCCGGCCTCCTACTGTGAAGGACTACAGCTGAAGAACAGGAGCTCATCAGTCTCACTTTACACTCTTCGTCCAGCAGGTCCAGGATGCCGAGTCGAGCCTCGATCAGGTCTATGCAGGACTGGTTATCGTAGAAGTCTATCAGAGTCCAGGGGATCTGCTCCTTCATGTACTCCTCCTGCTCCAACTTAAACACGTGCTGAGGAGACAAAACAACATCCAGCTGATCAGAGTCTCGATCCTTCCCCGAGACGGGTCCGAATGTGGACCGGGGGCCGAGCGGACGCGTTACATACAGAGTTGAACTGCTGCTGAAGCTTCTCGTTGGCGTAGTTGATGCAGAACTGCTCGAAGCTGTTCACCTCGAACGTCTCGAAGCTGCGGACAGCAAACAGAGAAGAACTCGTCAGAGGAAGGTCACTGCGTCTCCACGCCGCCCCGAGCCGAACTCTCCAAATAATAAAATACAAACACTCTAATGAGAAGACAACATATTAAGTTAGGCCGACAGCTGTCAGGTTTATACCCTGCGTGACCTTTTGTAATTGTGCATTGGTGTCCGGTTGCCAAAACACTAGTTGGCGGTTTCTGTGTTCTTTCTTCGTTGGTGTAGGCTGCTCAAACAATGGTGGGCTGGGTCGTTTAAAATCTTACAATAGTACCAAAGTAGTACTTCATTCGATACCTTGCTATTTGATGTTTGTTGTTATGGACAAGCAAGAGATCTATTTCTTTTTTCTCTCTTCAAAACCTGATGTATAAAATCCTGGGAAGGATCCTCTTCGTCAGAGGAAGGACGACGGCCTGGGACTTGTTTTATATTAGAATGAGAGGGAAACAGTTCAGAGACCACATGAGATGGGGAAACAAATTTAGTTGAAAGTCAACCACAGAAAATTATTTTCTAAACTTTTAATTAATAAACTGAATTGAATCTCCGCGAGCGCTTTTTCCCTCAGAGCAGAGTCGCAAACCTCCTCTAAAAAAGACGGCAGTAAGAAGTAGAAAACAAGCAAGTCTCTAAACTACACACAGGAAAGAAGCCGCACGTCCAGCCGATCAAAGCAGTGAAATCAGCTGATCAGAGACAGCTGATAAGATAGAGATAATGAAATGTACAGAGACGCGTTACATGACGCCGGGAGATAAAACCAAAGAAAAGCCGAGCTTGTGGTGAGAAACCAACTGAGCCGCAGCCGAAGGAGAGAGGCTCTCAGAATCAGCGTGGACTGTTTTCTACGGTCTGCTTGGCTGCAAGTAAAACTATACAAAAGTCTTTTTTGCTGCGATCTGGTTTGACGTTGGGTTCTGCTGATGGTCCCATAAAGGTATCGAGCAGCGATAGCGATCCGTAGAAGAGGCTGTAACTTATATGTTGCGTTTCTGGCGTGTGATGCTGCGGCTCAGAGCGGCACCTCAGCTCAGAGGAAGTGGTCTCACCCGTAGATGTCCAGGACTCCGATGAAGGAGTGCTGCTTGGAGGAGGTGTGCAGGGCCTTGTTGATGTGCTCCACGATCCAGTCGAACATGCGAGCGTAGATGTGCTTGGCGAGCGCGTCGCGGGCGTTGTTGGCCTGCTTGCTGGACATGCTCTTCACGTAGGTCTCGGACGTGGTGGCCAGCTTCCTGTGGCAGAGCCAGTGCTGCATCTGCTGCAGCTCCACGCCCAGCAGCCGGCAGAAGTGCTTCAGGTGGAGGTCGTCGCCCTGCAACACACACACACACACACGCAGCGTCACCCGTTAGAGGACGCACGCTCGCTCCCACTGCTGATCGTCGGCGTGAGCGGTAACCATGGTGACGTACCGAGATGTGACGGACTCTCCGTCTCGCTCGAGGAGATCACGATGTTGCCCAGGTGGAGGATGGCGGCGATGACTTTGAAAATGCTGCTCTGACTGCTGTCCTTGATACCTGGAGGCACACACGTTATTAGAGGGAGCTGACTCCGCCCCTCAGACCC